TAGCTGCGTTGTTCATCATGTCACCTTGTTTGCTGGGAGTTCATTAGCCTATTTTGTTCTAGTTTTGTACTTTGGTGATCGTACATCATTGTTAGCTGTTGTCCAAAGGGCTCTAGTTAAGCTAACGTTAACTTCTGGAGCTTAGCTTCATTAACTTATCTGTAATGGCAGAGATAACAAAGGTTGGCAAACGTTATGCTGAATGATTCAGTGTAAATACTGTAGCACCAAACTAACGGAGAGACACTCTTGGTAAAGATGGTAAAAAGGCCGTTATCCTTTTCTCATATTCTGAGCCAAAAACCTTAACTTCAGTGGCACTTTAACTTATTGTCTTTGATGGCGACGGCAACGAGATGTGGTTTATCAAGCGTACACTGTGACCTGTAAATTTTGGCTTGTAATTTAAGCTTTTCATCGACCTTCTCAACAATAAAATGATGAATATATCCCTCCAATGCGTAGTTTAGGCCCTTTTGGTTACAATGACATCTGATCGTTATGTCCCCAAAAATCATCAATTTCTTCCTGTGAAAAGCTGTGTACTGTGACACCTGTCATAGCGCCGGTCACTGAATGTTGATAGTTTGTCTGAGTGAGTGGAGGGGGGTGTGGTTTAGCCATAGGTCAATTAACTTAGTGTCAGTTTTAAATTCTTACTTTACATCAGCATGTTGTCTTAAAAAAAGAGGAAGCTCCATTGACCGGTCACTCTTCAACGACACATGGCTGGGTTTAAGCCTAGAAGAGTCTGGTCTCTGATGGATCCTGTAACAAAAACAACACAGATACTGTAAATACTGTAAAACTTCAATTAGTAGCCCAGGCTATTATTTGCTTAAATCACTGAGATCAACAGGCCTATATTTGGAACAGGTCTTTAGTTACTTTAACACATAACTGTTGCTCAGTAAATATGGGGAACACAATCAAGCTGTTTATTTAAACCAGTATGAATATGACATGTATAAAAATTAGAAATCAGATAATATATCAATATTGAATCATTCATTTGATCTAGCTGTGACAGACAGCACATCAGAGAGAGAGTGAGTTACGACACTGGTTTTACAGCACTAGTTTACATCACCCAGCACACCAATACAACACCACTTCATCCTGTTAAAACAATCCTCACAACTTGGAATAATTTCAATGAAAAACCCTTTTGATTCTTTTGATCTGGGGACCGTTACGGACTGAGGGAATATGAATAACCTACAGGGTAATCAAGGAATGGACACATAATTTGACTTCATGACTGCTTCAGAAGCAGGAAGTCACCACCTTTTTTTTAATCTCTCTTGTTTACCAGGCCAGTAAATCTGAATGAATTATTCTTTGGCATTCATGGTTTTAGTAAAATTAACTAAATGATTGAACTGATCTAACAATATGAAGCATCTCCACACTGACAAAAGTTTAAACACTGTTTTATACATCCAAAGAACTTCTATGAAATTGAACTGCTTGGCAACCAGACCAAGCTTCTATTTGAGACAGGCTTTATTTGTCAAAATGTGTCGCCACACTGGGGTAGTAAAAGAGAAGGGGCGTTTGATTGGGACTAGGGTTTTAATTGAAGTTTGACGGTATGAATGTTGGAGAGAAACTTATGAGAATAAAAGGTCAGTCTTTTAACGTGAAAAACAATTAACTTGTTGTCAGTTTTGAATTCTTACCTCCCATCAACAAAAACAGCTCAGATAAAAATGTGCATGTTGGAAAAAAAATAATGAAAAATACACATGCTCAATCTTTTAACACAGACATCTAACTTTTATCTCAAATGCCTTGTTGTCAGGTTTAAATTCTTACCCTCCAACAACACGTCTAAAAAAAAGAGGAGGCTCCATTGACAGGTCACTCTTCACAGACACATGGCTGGGTTCAGGTCCAGGAGAGGCTGGTCTCTGATGGATCCTATTATAAAACAGCACACATAAATGTGCTTGTATGAGAAACGCTGATGAAAAACATGTCCAATCTTTTAACACAGACAACAAGTACATTTTTGTCACAAAGGCCTTTTTGTCCATTTCAAATTCCTAATTTACATCAGCAGATTGCCTAAAAAAAGAGGAAGCTATTGACCAGTCACTCTTCACAGACAAACATCTGGGTCCAGATCCAGGTTCAGGTTCAGACTCAGGTCCAGTAGAGTCTGGGCTGTGCCTCTGCTCTAGGCTTCAACACAACACACACACAACTTTAAGTGTGAGTAATGATGGTGGAGTAATCCGAGTGCTCAGCTCTGACATGAATAAGATTCATGGACAGTTAGAGTTCCTCATCTCACCTCTGAGCTTCAGTCCGGCTGTCATGGTCCCCACGCAGAGTGGTTTTAGAGGGACGGACTCCCTCCTCTGGTTCCTCACACTGATCCATAGCAGAGTCCACACCTTCACACAAACACAACAACCTGCTGGGAGAGATCACACATTATTTATCATTATTCCTGTCAGTCACATGACAAACACAGAATTCTGATTACAGGAAACATTTCAAGCTTTGAGGGGCTAGTGTCAAAGCCACTGATGCTGACTGTGTGTTCCAGTACCCATACTACCATACTATATAGTAGGTCAGAGGGAGATTGAATATGTCCCAATACATAATATGTCGAATGCAAATCAAATTAGAAGGAAAGTGTCTGCACACTGAGTTTAAGCTCCCGCTTTTATTTGGCTCAAAGCTGCAAGCTTTCGACCCTATTGGGTCTTCATCAGGCAAATGAGTGACAGCAGTTAATTAATCTAGATTCAAAATCCAGGTTTCTGGAGGTGAAACAAATATAACTTTACCTTCTTTTAAACCCCATTAGGAACATGTCAGAAGAGGTGATTTTACATTTACAGTGTATTACAGTTAAATATTATTTATCAACTTCCAACAAATGGAGCTGTGCTACACGATCTTCCCGTCACAGTCCAGATATAAAACACAAAACAGTAAAATGATATGTAACTGTGCTTATAAAAAAACCCACTATGGTCAGTATGTTACATCTGGAAACTCTCGTACGACAACAACCAAACATTCAAACCAACCACAGCTTCTCTCTGCCTGCTCACACAGGCGGCCATCTTGTTTCACAGCTGACATTTGTATTTGAAAGTATCTTTAAACAAACATTCACCATCAATTTAACTATTTCTCCAAACACAATACATAACCTCATTTCAAGCGATCACAGCTCCACTTACTGAACTTTCAGCCATGAACTTCATCAGTGTGCAGCTGTCTTCTGTCCTCAGCAGCTCTGCATAGTAAAGAAACTTTGTGCTTCACTTCAACTTAAACATCAAGCAGACGAAGTGAAACAACATCGCTTCTTATCCTTCATCAGAGTGTGTGTGTGTGTGTGTGTGTGTGTGTGTGTGTGTGTGTGTGTGTGTGTGGGGGTGTGTCTTTAAGGAACAATGAAAGTATGCAGTCTGACTGGTTGGACAGAGTCAGAATTGCATTCACAGGATCAAATGTTTGTATGAACAGAATTGATCATCTTTGTTCATCAAACCCAGTCACCAGAAGAAATGTTGGCATTGTGTGTTTCTGCAAACCATGAATACATATTGTTTGGACGGGACAACTTACACACTCATCATTCTAATGTCGTGTTCACACTAAATCCAATGTGAATTTTTGCGTCACGTTACTCGTGCGAGTTTGAATGGTGTCCATGGAGGATCTCAATGCTGATTGGCTATCACGGTGTGAATGGGTTGCTGAAGTTTCAATTTTTCAACTCTTGCAAATAAGCATGTGACACAATATCTCGTTTGTCTCTGTTTCGTAGGTTTTTCCTTTTTTTTCTAATGTTTGAAATCAATCAATCAAATCAAATGTGTTGAGTGTCATCACGTCAAGTGTGCGAGGACGCATGACTGCAAAACTGCCTATAGACAGGCCTCAACTCTGTTTCACCTGCTGTGGCAACTTTGTTACTGAGGGGATTGACCAGCTGGGAAAACAAGGATTAATACACATCAATTCAGGTTTTAACCAAAATGTTCCTTAATTTAACCACCAAAAACTAATCAGTTAATCGTTGAGTCCATTTGTGCCACATTTGAAGAAATTCCCTCGAGGCGTTCTTGAGATATCGCGTTAACAAGGATGGGATGGATGAGCGGATGGACGGACAACCCAAAAACGTAATGCCTCCATGGCTGTCACCAGTGTTTAGGCATAATAATTTGTGTTTTTTTGACACAGTTTGGCTCCTAAGATGGCCGACACAAAAACACAAATGTCCCTATTCCGAGCCAGTGTTCAGTTTGTCTGTTCAGGGCCACTGTGGGAACATAGCGATGCAACATGGTGGACCTCATAGATGAGGACCTGCTCTCTATGCGCTCATCTAAACCGCTCAATCTAACGATTCTTATTTTCAGGTGATTATACGCTAAAGAAATCATATTTATTAAATTATATTTAATTCCTGTACTATATCCTCCTAAATCCTACACACTTGACCTTTAAACCTGAGTTAACTACAGACCTTATTTCAGACATCTAATCCATTTCACCCTCACTTGTGAACAAGACCCCGAGTTACTTGAACTCCCTTGCTTGAGGCAGTAACTCTCTCCCAACCCACTGGTTTCAGGCAGACAAACCATGGCCTCATATTTGGAGGTGCTGACTCTCATCCCAACTGCCTCACGCACAGCTGCAAACAACCCCAGTGCCTGCTGCTGAGGGTGAAGTTTTCCATTTACTGGTCCATCTACGTCCCAACCCCCACCTCCATGGGGTGTCTGGGCTCAGCCTTAGAGTTAGGATGAGGAGCTTGGACATCCGGCGGGAGCTCGGAGTAGAGCCGCTGCTCCTTCACATCGAAAGGGGTCAGTTGAGGTTGTTCGGCATCTGATCAGGATCCTCCTGCGCACCTTCCTTTAGAGGTGTTCCAGCATGGGCGTAGCGGACGTGGGATACGCGTGGGACATGTCCCCCGCACTTCCCGTATCTGTGTCCTCTGTCCCCCGTACTTTTTATAGCCATTACAACTGTCCAATTCGTTTTTAACATGTCGTACCGTGTTTTTCCAAGCCGTCTTTAAAAGCACCATGAGTAGAGGGCATACCATAGACTGTATAAAAATAGGCGCATACATATTGTTGTGATCTGAATCAATCGCACAGACAAGACGTGTGTTACTGAGCAGTGCCACCATGTTAACTATGTTCAGCAAACCAGCCAGCAAGAAGCAAAAACCCTTGCACAGTTTCTTCCAAACAAACCGTGTAAGTTGAGTAATGCTGTTGCATGTAGATAATGTTAGCTAAATGATGACTAATAGATGCTAATATATCAAGTTAAGCTAGTTAACAAGAATACTAATGTTATTGTTACCTAAGTTAAATTGCTTGCTAGCTAGTTTTATGCTAGGAATAAACCCACTCCTCCTTATAATAAGAACTTGTGCTCACTATTGCTTTGCACATATTTTTTTAATCTTTATTGCCACAATATAAAGAGCAGGGTCAGGAAGGAGACAGTGGACCAGAGGCCAGCAAGGATGATCATGCAGGGTCTTCACAGGTGAGGAGAGATTATAACTGGCTGAGAGAAAATATCTATAGCATAAAAGTGACTTTGAGGTTAATTTCCACAGCTATGTCACCACTACTATTTCTAATTCTATTTCTGAATTTTGCTTTGCACACTTATTATCTATATTATTGCAATAGATAGAAGAGGGACAGGGAGAAACCAGGCAGGTATCAGGACAGGGACCTGACAGCAGCACCAATTATCAGCCCAAGGTTTCACAGGTAAGGAGAAATTATAACTGGCTAAGGAAATGTCTATAGGATAAGAGTGACTCTGAGATTAATTTTCACAGCTATTTCAGAGCTACTCTTATTTTTGTTTTTTTTTGTCTGTACTGCAATAGGTAGCACAGGGAGAAGGCTTAAAAATATTCGATTAATTTTGCACATCTGTGCTGTCATATTTGACTAAAATGTAAAATACATCTTGATGTTGATATGTTTAGTGTTGTGTCACTTTCTGTCTTCATGCCATTAAATTAAATTATGTGGCTTATTACCCTGTTACCTTGTCACTTCCATTCCATTTTGTGTGCTAATAACTTGCTAACAGGAATGATGTTTTACTGAATTTTTCATGTTCAGTGTTGTCATTTGGCTCTTAAGTATCTGGCTACTTACCCTGTAGATGCTTGAGGGTCATTCTGTGTCAACTCAACAAGAGTTTGGTGGCTAAAACTTTAGATTTTGATAGTATATAATTTTAAAGAACTAAAGTTGGTCCCATGGTGCTGTACTGCGGCTGTTTGTGGTAATGTGGTTCTTTAGCCGCTAAGGAGAGGTGCAATTGAATGCGAGAGGATGATAAATCACTCAATAGACCTCTGAACAATTTGTCCCCCTCACTTCTGAAATGATGGCTATGCCCCTGTGTTCCAGGCACGTCCCACTGGTAGGAGGCCCTGGGGCAGACCCAGAACGCGCTGGAGGGATTACATATCTCATCTGGCCTGGGAATGCCTCTGGATCCTCCAGGAGGAGTATGTTAGCCTGCTAACCCGGCCCCCGGATAAGCGGATGAAAATGGATAGATGGATGGATGGACCCAAAGACCCACTGACTTCAAGATGACAGAACAGAAGGACAAAAATACTACCTGGACTCGTCCCTGCACCGCTCTATAAAGAAGTGAGCTGAACAACAGATTATGAAACCAAAAATATATTTTAATATCATCCTTCATGCACATGAAACTTTCCAGAACAATCAGGAGACAAACAGCTTGATACGTAGAATAATGTACAACAGATAGATACTGAATATATACACACACATCAAACCAGTCTGACCACTGTTAGAGTCACACTGGGACCAGTTAGACTGTGTTACGGGAGGACTGGTGGACTACTCTTCCTTCAAAGTAGTATTTCATGGTAGTATTACAGGATGAGTTTTATTCTTCACTGTCAGACGTGTCGGAGGAACAGACTTACAGACGCTCAGCTGCAGTCAAACCTCACCTGTTGAAACATGAGCATCTGCTGCCACCTGCTGTTCACTCAGAGCATCACAGCCTGTCGGGGGGGGGGGGGGGG